CTTAATACCATGTAACTCAAGTGGGCAACCATATTTTTTTGTTCTCATTCTCTTATGTTTCATTTCTTTACATTGCCCTTATTTTTAAAATGTCTGTATTTTCCATTTCATTCACATGCCAATTTTATTCTAGGTTTTTTCGAGCTTCCCAACTAATAGTGTTTAATTACTATGATGAAACCTTCATTTTTTTTCAATACGTCTAGCCCATGAAATCAAAATTTCTCAACTACAAAACACCTGCAAAACATTTTTAACTTATTATGCACATACAAACTAACATTCTATGCTTTTATGTCTTCCAATAACAATAAATCTAAAAAAATATAATCTTACTTAATCCGTAGTAAATGAATTGGTGCGATCATATCTAGTATATAAATTGTGTGGTAATTGATTCCACTCTTTCAACGCATTTTTCAAATTAATTTACATATCACACAATATATTAAAAAATATTATTAAAAGAAATATAAATATTTCCCACAATTATTTTATATTTTCAGATTATAGTGTATTCTAAAAAATGAACTTCCAAGAATACAATGTAATTCTCATAAATGAATTTTTGAGAATACAATGAATTCTTGGAAATGAAATTTCGAGAATATATAATATTTCTTAAAAATTTATCTCCGAACCTTACATTGTGTTCTTAGAAATTCGATTATGAGAAATAAAGTATGTTCTCGAAAATATATTTTCGAGAATTACATTATTTTTGTAGAAATACATTTCTAAAAATAGACTATAAATATTGAAAATATGTTTTTGAGAATACAATATAATTATTGGAAGCAAATTGTTGAGAACTATAAAATTTCAAACTCGATTCCATACCTCTAGGAATGCTTTTCCCCCATTGTTGTTTCTCATTTTTGAATATATTCTTACATAGTTTGTAAGGTTTAGTTAAGGTTTCAAAAATTGGATTTTTGCTTTAAAAATTTAGGATTTAGTGTATGAGAAAGAAATATTAAAGAGGAAGAAGAAGAAGGAGAAGGAGAGAACGGGGAAAAAGAAGAAGGAATTGGTGTACATGATATAAAGGGCATTTTTGTCTTTTCGTAAAACATTGAGGAGTAGAAAAAAAAACTAGAATGGAAATTAGAATGAAAAGCAAGGGCAACAGAGGGACAGTCAAACTAAGACCCAATGTATGTTGGAAGTGGAGAGATAGTGAAACGTCTGTTAAACAACTCCTACATCCTCTGTCTCTCTCTCTCTCTCTTTAATTTCGCTATTTATTAAATTTAAAATATCTTAAACAATCCCGCCCTAAACCCCCTAATATTTCTCTCTTCCATAGTCCATACTAATCCAAACACATTTAAAACAAAAAGTAATGCATTTGTCATTTTTCCCCTCTTTCTTTCTGTGTATATAAATTATAATACAGCTCTCAACCCTCAAATGAATCGATCAGTTATTTTCCCTCTTAATATTTTTTCGCTTTAGGGTTCCGATTATGAATAAGATCGACTGATCGAAAGCCAAACGACAAGCAGTAGCAGCAAAACGTACAGTTTTTTCTTTTTTTTTTCGATTTTATTTTTATAGCTCAGCTGATTGCTTCGATCATCGTTAATTTTCTGTCTAATTTGTTATTTTGTAATTATTTCTTTTAGTTATTTTTTTATATGTGGGATTGACGAAGATTTTCCTTCTTTTTCTTTTGATTTGGTTTTGATTCATAATTGACGCGATAAGAATGACCTATGAAGTATTTGTTTTTTGTAAGCGTATGTATATGTGTATTTATACGTTTGTTTGTTCCTAAAGAAACATTTGAACTGCTTGGTATGTATATATGCGTATTATAGGTGTATATTATGTATGTACTTACGTATGTATACATATTAAAAGTCGATTGCAATTACTCTGCTTGTTTTGTTTTCATTTTGGGGCTGTGATTTTTGAATGATTCAAATTGATTTTATGTTATTTTAGAATATTTGGATTTTTTCCATGCTCTGGATCGTGGATTATGATTATTATGATGGCTGTGGCTTTAGCGGATTTTACAAGCAAACAACACTAACATAACTCAACTATTAATAATAAGCAGAGTGTTCCGCAAACAATTCGTAAATATGCTCAATTTTTTATAGTTAATATTTGGTTGTTAAGCTAAATAAACAATTTTGAACAAAATTTAATATTTGTTTAATAAATGAAATGAACTCAACCTAATATCTAAATAATTTGATTATATTTACAAATAAATTCATTTAAAATTTCTTCGTTTAGAGCTTGTTTGAAGATTGGTTTATTGTTTGAAAATAATAAATTATTATTATTATTATTGATATATTTAATTTATTTGTTGATTTTTTCTATTAATTATTTTTAGGGGTATTATACTATTACTTTAGGTAGTACCCGAGACAAACTTGAAAAAAATAACACACGAAGAGAAAAAAACACTTCAAAATTTGAAATAAAAACCCAAAGCATAAATCATAATTCTCATTTCGTTCTTTTGTTTCCTTCACAGCCCCCCATCCCTCCCCCTCCGCGTCCCCCTCCCCTCCCCCTCCCCCATGCTAAACTCTGTTTCTCATCCCATCCCACCAACCAGCTACCAACGCAGTACCTATTCCTAACTCTATACCAGCAGCGTACCACCAGCAATCATTTCAGACTAGCTCACCATTTCATCTTCTTCTTCAGCTCTCCTCCACCATCATCGTTTTCCCCTTCAGCTCTTGTTTGCTTTCCTTTCCAACACACCCAAACCCCCCCCCCCCCCCCCCCTTTCAAGAATCTCAAGAAGAAACTCTACCGCCATCTTCTCTGCTTTGCAACGTTGGGCTGCATTTTAAGGAGTGGCCTCTCAAGTATCAACTGATCCTAAACTGAGCTCGAATATCCAAAAATCTAAATGAGCTGAGCTCCTAGATAATGTAAAAAATCCTTACCGAGCTCGAGATGGTCCTAAACACTCCTAAAATAAACAAACAAATCATGAATAGAGCTCAAATAAACAAAATAATAATAATAATAATGAACAGACCAAAGCTTTGGTTCAAGATCGGCTCATTTACACCCCTATCAAACGTGTCTTTCCTTGTCAAATGTAATTAGCCAACTTGTCCAAATTTAATTCATTGTCTTAGCTATAACTAACAAATGCTTCATAACAGATAGAAACATTTTTGACCTAGTATTTATAGCAACTTGACATTTGACAATGAAGAAAGTCCTCTTACGCCAATCACTCTCTAGGATTTCTTACAACTGAATTTTTACTGGTTAAATACAGGACATGTCTTGATTGTCCACTACTTTCGCGAGATTTCTTTTTACTGTTTAGGATGAATTAGTTGAATGTATAAAAAGACATTCTGCTAGTCTGATTGTCGTCAAGATCAAAAGTTATTCATATTCTGAGTTTTCTGGATTGTGGAAATCTATTTTTCTGTATTGTTTTTTCTTTTAGAATAGTAGTTTGCGCTTATGTAGTTGTTAAAACAATCCTCTACCATCATTGCTTTTCCATCAGTTTATGTTTTCTCTCTAGGTTCTGGAAATCAATCTATTTGTATTCTTTTATAAATGCTTAAGAGTTTATTTATTACTTGGCACTAGAATTGGTAGCATAAAGAATATCTTCCTAATTAATATAGACCAGTATGGATCAGAAAGGCCATGGGCAGACCTCTGCAATGGGCGTAGTTGGTAGTGCAGCTGCAGTTCCATATGGTGTAACCACTTATCAACATAATCAAATTATGCGAACCTCTGTTCCTGGATCGGTTGGCTCAATCCAATCCCCTACCCAGCCAGCAGGTCTCTCTGCCTCTTCAGCTCAGCTGTCCCAACACCAACTTGCTGATCAGCATATCCATCAACAACAGCAACAGCAATTGCAACAACAACTCCAGAGCTTTTGGGCAAATCAGCATCAAGACATTGAGCAGATTACTGATTTTAAGAATCGTAGCCTACCATTGGCCAGGATTAAGAAGATTATGAAGGCAGATGAGGATGTGAGAATGATACCAGCTGAAGCTCCAGTAGTATTTGCTAGGGCCTGTGAAATGTTCATTCTAGAGTTGACACTGAGGTCCTGGAATCACACTGAGGAAAATAAGAGGAGGACCCTCAAGAAGAACGACATTGGCACAGCGATAACGAGGACTGATATATTTGATTTTCTGGTTGATATCGTCCCAAGAGAGAATTTAAAAGATGAGGCTATTGCATAAGTGCTGAGAGTTGGAGGTCCGGCTGATGGTCATCCTTACTATTACATGCCACCTCAGCTTGTTCCACAGGCTGGTGCTCCAGGTATGACGGTTGGTAAGCCTGTGATGGATCATCCCCTTTATGGCCAACAGTCTTGCCGTTATGCTGGTCAGCAGATGTGGCCACCACAACAGCAGCAGTCACCTTCGGATTCTTAAATGATATGCTAATGGCTACTTAAAATCTTGAAGGACAGTGCAAGAGAATTGATTATCATACCGTAGTATGTAATTGAAGTCAATATTATTGCATTACAATTTAATTACTCCTCTATATATAGTGTAAAAGTTGAAAGATGTTTCGTTTTAAGGCCCATGGTTCCTTCTTTCCTTTGTTTTTTTTTTTATTTATTTTATTCTTCTGGGTCTTTTATGCAAATTCGAAGTTCTAAGGTTGTCTCATGTTATTTTCGAAGCTATAACATTCTACCATCGTGTTGAACACATTGTACTTATTGCATGCGATTAATTGTCCTTGACAGAATTAGTTATTCGACTTCGGATTCATCTTCACTACAGATTTTTCTGTACAAATTTGTCCAGTCAGAATGCAATCTTGACGAACCATGCGGACCACATTTTCACATGTTTATTGTTCGAAAGAAGTGTTTGAAAAGACGACCCTCAAGCATTGTGGCACACGGAAATAACTTAATTCCCTGAAAGAAGCCTTTCGCCTAACCATCCATTTTACCGGACAATGGAAAAGGGTTGAAAACCAAAGATATGAGAAAACAATACTCCATGGAAAAAGATACTCTCAAATTTTAGGATCAATGTACATTAATATATTTTCATTACTCACCCTAAGTCCAAACCCCATTGAAAAAAGCTATTCAGTACGTTGAATCATGGGTTTCACATTATCAGCATTCCATGGAAACACTAAGATCATTCATGACATGAAAGAAAAGGTTTAAGCATACAAAGGACTTTGTTGGTGAAGCAGCCAGTCAGGACATCTGTGTCCATTATCAAGATGCTGGACAAATCGCCTCCAAACTGGATCAACACAAGTAAATGGTAAGACAGGAATTCTATTTCAGTTTAAATTCATTCTCATGATAGAAGAGGTACCTTTGCCCCAAGCATTCAATGATATCGGTGGTAAGAGTTGACCTTTTCTTATGCTCAAAAGCAAGAGATGCAGCTTTCCTCAATAAAGCAGAGCCCGCAATGCAACCCAACACAGTTGGATTTGTCGGACTGTAATGATCCCATGTTTAAGAAAACAATCAATGAACATGTAGGAGAGGAAATTGAGGAACCATAGTGAGTTTGCCAGGAATATGAGATAAATCTAGGCAAAACTACCTGACAGTCGGTTTCCTTTCTGTGGCCAAAATATGTTGACGAGCCCAAGATAAAAATACCCCAACGCTGGCACAGAAACCCGAAATGGAAAAGATCAAAAATCAAAATTATTCCATGCTCTTGAAATCTGAATTCAAGGATAGATGCATCACTCCAAGAAAATGGGTAAGAAATAAGTCCGACAGAATGCACAATGCCCAAGAAAAACAAAAAGGGATGTCCATGAAATTTGATGAAAAATTATATTTCCCATATAGTGAATAGCTATTTAAAAAAAATCACAGAAGCTATTTCAATACACAAATATAAGATGAAATTCTAATGTATCAATTACCTTCCAGAAAGGATATCACCTTGGCCACCACAGCGCCGTGGGGATCCATAAATGCCCACTGATTGGACTACATAACGCAAACGTGTGGCATTAAAAATGTTTCACAATTTCCAAACAAAAAGGAAATAAATAGGGTGCTTCAAAAATCAAAGAAAGCCAACAATCAGAAAATCCAATTCTTTTCGCCAAAACGAAAAAGCATTTCTTAGAGTGGATTAAAGCAAATCAAATCATAAGATTTACACTGATAATTTCACATGCATAGGAATATAAGTGGATGCAATAACAGAAAGTTTGGAAAAGGAACAAAAGAAACTTTCGGAGGGTTCTGAACTTTTGGGCCACTAGCTATTGAGTAACAACACAGAATATAATACAGCAGAACCATACAAATTAATATATTCAGCTTGCTTTCAAGAAACATCAGGTAGCTCATTGATGTTAATAATTTTTTATCTTCAGTTTCCACTCTATAACTAAGTTAGGACACACAAGATCAAAAAGATTTTGGTGTTAAGAGGCATATTTTAATCAACATGTGTTTCCATATGTCCTGCATGGGTAAAATTTATTGCATTGGCCACAAATGCAATTTTCTCAAAAGATGCCACCATTCTCAACTCAAATGTTGTAATAAAAGAACATAAATTTTGAGCATAATACATTTGCAAGTCAGGAGGTTCCATACCTATTTCACCATCACTAATGAGGTCAGACTTTCCTTTCCTTAAGATAGTTACACAACCCATCCTGACCAATAGGGGCACTTCAAATTAGAAAGTTTTCAGAATAGTGCATTAAATTTCTTCCATTAAGAAAAGGAAAAAGGTAGTTCATCTGACCACCAAATATTTAGAAAATCAAATATAAGATAAAGTACATTGTCTAGCCAATATAATACTAACAATTGAAAACCCAAAGAATGTGGCAACACTAAAAGGGGATACTTATTAGCTGCTGTGGTCTACGCCTCTCATATAAAGAGGAGCTTGCTAACTGTTTACCCACATTCACCCAATCCTTGGCATGTGCAATCCATATGCAAGCTATGAACCTCAGATGCACATTACACCTTAAATTCAACCAAATGTTATCACTAAGTTGTAATGGCTGAACATAGAAAACCATAATCTATTCAGATATAGAGTTCTTCATTACCACATTATATATCACTATCTGTAATATACACAAATGCTTTAGAGCACCAAAACAGAATATCAACAAACTGATCTGTCCTCTATAGCAATAGATTGAAATGGATGAAATTGGTTTTCTTCTCTAACCATTGTGTTGAATGAAACCAATATGCAGATTGAAACTCAATAGTCTGACCTCTATAATGTAGATCCATATGCATCCAGTTTGTTTGAATACTGTCTATAAATTTGCAGATGTATACTAAAAACTAACTCTGAGGTTTTCTCAAAAATAAAAAACAAAAACAAAAAAATGTTCTTATCATATATATTCACGATAAAAAAAAATCTCAACAATGATAATCTTTATTCCTCATGTGCTTTAAATGCGTATATGGGGAAAAAAGAGAACTTGCAAAAGCAATATACCCTTTGGAAAGAGAAAGCAGCTCCCCATGAGCTTCTTGATCGTTTACTTCACAACCTAGAACTTTCTGAACCAGGCGCTTGTATTCATTGACATTTGGAGTTAAGACAGCTAAGGGATAGCCGCTAACAAGTTCAACACTGTTTGTCACAAGGAAGAGTCCATCCTAGGAAATACCAGGTAATAAACAGGAACACAATGGCAAATGGCATAAACATTAAAAAGTTTAAAAAAAAAACAGAGCTGGTATGGTATTGAGCATGTATCTGCACCAGACAAAGCAAATACTTGTGGTTACTGATTACATACCCCATCTACAACCATGGGAACATTTGACTGCCTTGCATGTGTCATGATTTTGCTCACACATTCCTGAACATGATGTGCAAGGGTTAAAATAGTTGCACATGTTCTATGGCAGGAAGTATTGCCAGAGGAGAAAAGATGCAGCAAATGATTATGAAAGAGCTATTCCTAGGAATCTGTGCACACACCAAGAATATTTGCAACGAAAAATACTAAGTTTTATTTCAGAACTCAAGAAGAAATTGAAGTTTCAAAGTCAAATTTGCAGACAAAGACCTAAAGAAACACATTACTTGGACTTACGTATCCCTGAATAATTTTTTGTGGGAAAACACTTATTTACAGCTGGTTGTAATCTTGTAATCTGTATATTTATATTTGTATCTCTAGAATTAAGTATTTGTATCCCTAGAATTAAGGAAGATTTAGTTTCCTAGTTTAACCCCTAGTTAGTTGTATATAAACCTAAGATTCTTGAATAATTGAAAATAAGCAGTTTTTCAATATACATTCAGTTTCCACATGGTATCAAAGCTTTAGGCTCTTCTTGGGAAGAAAAATTTTTAGCCTTCATTGCTGACTTTTTTAGGCCTTCACTGCCGAATCCTATTTAGGCCTTCATTGCCGAACCCTTTCAAAGAAAGATATCACTATCACCCAGTTTGAGGAAACGTTAACTGGAAAAATCACTGGAGGACTATAGATGTCTCAAAAACAAGGAGAGTTCAACAGGGAAGAGATTGAAAAGCTGAGAAACTTATTGAAAATCCTTGAAAAGCCTACTATGGTATGTTCTTTGGGTAAAGTTTGTAGTTCAGGTAAAGCTTCCGGTTCTCATGGATTAAATGTCTCGACTAAGCCTATTACGAGTTCTTGGGTCATTGACTCAGGAGCCACAGATCAAATGACACATTCCTCACAAAAGTTTAGTACATATAACCTATGTCCTAGTAATAAGAAAATTGTTGTTGCTAATGGTTCACTTATCACAGTGGCAGGATTAAGAGATGTTCAAGTTAATCCCTCATTTGTTCTCAAAAATGTTCTTCATGTTCCTGGATTATCTACTAATCTGATATCTATACAAAAACTTACCAGAGATATGAATTGCAAAGTAACTTTTTATCCCTCTTATTGTGAATTTCAGGACCAGAGTTCGGGGAAGATGATTGGACTTGCTAAGGAGAAGGATGAACTATACTATCTTGAGACATCAAATAACACAAGTAGTATCAAAAATAGTTTACCTTTGTCATTTCTTTCTGAAAAATCTTCCAATAAAGACAAAATCTGGCTTTATCATTTTCGTCTTGGACATCATTCTTTTGGAACCTTGAGAAACATGTTTCCTTCTTTGTTCAAAGAATTAAATGTTGAAGATTTTCATTGTGATATTTGCGAATTTGCAAAACATAGACGTGTGTCTTTTCCAATCAGTAACAAAAGAAGTTCTACTCCCTTTTACTTGATTCATAGTGACATTTGGGGTCCCTCTACAATTTCTAATATTTCTGGTGCGAGATGGTTTGTTTCATTCATAGATGATTGTACTAAGGTTTCTTGGGTTTTTTTACTTAAATCCAAATCAGATGTGAATAGTGTGTTTTTAAGCTTCCAAAACATGATCCAAAATCAATTTGGAGTACGAATAAAGAGATTTAGGTCTGATAATGCAAGAGACTACTTCAACCAGAGTCTATCCACCTATTTCCAAAAAAGAGGGGATTATCCATGAGTCATCTTGTGTTAATACTCCACAGCAGAATGGAGTGGCAGAGAGGAAAAATAGCCATTTACTAGCCACAACCCGAGCCTTTCTTTTTCAAGCAAATGTACCTAAATCTTATTGGGGGGAAGCTGTTCTCACTACCACACACATTATAAATAGGTTACCTTCAAGAGTTTTGGGATTTAAAACTCCTATGAACTACTCTCACAATTTTATCCCAACCTCAATACCACAAACAATCTCACACTTAGGATATTTGGTTGTACATAATTTGTTCATGTTCACGGTCATAACAGGGGAAAGTTGGATCCAAGAGCGATTAAGTGTATTTTTGTGGGGTATTCTTCAACCCAAAAAGGATATAAGTGCTATCATCCTCCTACCAAAAAATTTTGTGTCTGCAGATGTCACTTTTGAAGAAAATAAACCATTTTTTACTCAACCTTATCTTTAGGGGGAGACTTCATTCATGGAAGATAAGGATAAAGACTTCTTTTTGCTTGATTTGCCCCCTTCTTCAACATTTACACCCATTAATTCTTTTGAGTCGAAACCTGTTTCTGCTGAGCTCAAGTCAAACACTGAATTTGAGTCTGAACCCATTCTAAATACGGAAGATGTGACAAAGGATAATATTGTTCTTGATTCTATGAAGGAATTACAGATGTACTCAAGAAGGAAAGTTCTAGATCCTGAACCAGTGCCAGTCCAAAAACCTGATCCTAACTCTGAAAATGAGGTAACTACAGTTTTTGACTCTGTTTCTCAAAATGAGCATGAATCTCCTAAAGCTATAACTAGTGATTATGATTTGCCTATTGCCATTAGGAAAGGAAACAGAGAATGTACCAAGCATCCACTATACCCAATATCTAATTTTGTGTCATTTGAAAAATTCTCACAATCCCACAAAAATTTTCTTGTGAGCCTAAACACTATTTCTGTTCCAACTACATTATCCGAGGCATTATCCAGTGAGAAATGGAGGCAAGCCATGAAAATAGAAATGGAGGCCTTAGAGAAAAATCAGACATGGGAACTGGTAGAGTTGCCTAAAGGAAAAAATCCAGTGAGGTGTAAATGGGTTTTCACTGTAAAATACAAGGCAGATGGTACTGTTGAAAGGTATAAAGCCAGGTTAGTGGCTAAAGGCTACACTTAAACCTATGGAGTGGATTACCAAGAAACCTTTGCTCCAGTTGCCAAGATGAATACAGTTAGGATTTTGTTATCATTGGCTGCAAATTACAATTGGCAGCTTCAACAATTTGATGTAAAGAATGCTTTTTTACATGATGATTTGGAAGAAGAAATATATATGAAGGTTCCATCGGGATTTGGAGGTCATCTAGAAGCAAACAAAGTATGCAGGCTAAAAAAGGCTTTATATGGCCTTAAATAGTCTCCTAGAGCTTGGTTCGGGAGATTTGCCAATGTGATGCTAGCATGGGATATAAACAGAGTCAAGAAGATCACACATTGTTTATCAAGCACTCTGATTCAGGGAGAGTCACAGTTTTATTAGTGTATGTTGATGATATAATTGTAACTGGAGATGATGAAAAAGAGAGAATCTCTAAAACAGTGTTTGGCTAGAGAATTTGAGATAAAAGAGCTAGCGAGATTGAAGTACTTCTTAGGAATTGAAGTAGCTCACTCACGGCATGGTATTTTTATCTCACAACAGATATATGTGATGGATCTTCTGAAGGAAACAGGGAAGCTTGCATGTAAACCTGCAAATACCCTTATAGATCCTAATCATAAAATTGGAGAAGCTAATGAAGATGCTGCTATAAATAGAGAGATGTACCAAAGATTAGTTGGAAGACTCATTTATCTCTCACATACTAGACCTGATATAGCATATGCTGTGAGTGTGGTAAGTCAATTTATGCATAATCCTAAAGATGTGCACCTACAGGCTGTCTATCGTATATTGCACTATTTGAAGGCCAATCCTGGAAGAGGTATCTTATTCAAAAAAAATTCAAGGTTAGTTCTAGAAGCATACAGATGCTGATTATGCAAATTCAGTAACTGATAGAAGATCCACCTCAGGTTACTGCACTTTCTTAGGTGGTAATCTTGTGACTTGGAGGAGTAAAAAACAGAATGTGGTGGCAAGATCAAGTTGCTGAAGCAGAGTTCAGAGCAATGCTCAAGGAATTGTGAACTACTATGGTTAAAGATTATCCTAGAAGACTTGAAGATCAAGTGGGATGGACCAATGAGACTCTACTGTGATAACAAGTCTGCAATAAGCATTGCACACAATCCTATGCAACATGACAGAACAAAACACATTGAAGTAGACCGGTATTTCATAAAGGAGAAACTAGACAGTGGGTTGATTTGTACACCTTATGTATCAACCAAGGGTCAACTTGCAGATGTGTTGACTAAAGGTCTCAGCAGTGCAACATTTCAAGAAATTATTTCCAAGCTGGGAATGGGAAAACACCTATTCACCAGCTTAGGGGAGTGTGGGAAAACACTTATTTACAGCTGGTTGTAATCTTGTAATCTGTATATTTATATTTGTATCTCTAGAATTAAGTATTTGTATCCCTAGAATTAAAGAAGATTTAGTTTCCTAGTTTAACCCCTAGTTAGTTGTATATAAACCTAAGATTCTTGTATAATTGAAAATAAGCAGTTTTTCAATATACATTTAGTTTCCACATTTTTCTAAAATCAAAGGTTCTTTCATTTCACATTAGAGAGGGAGGGAGCAAAGAAACCATTCTTACTCAAGCTTAAAATAAGTATTTCTCATTCCACAAGGGCTTTGCTTGGCTTTAAGAATATGCATGACAATTGTTGGTCAATGACAAGCATAGCATTGCTCACAACCAAAGCCAAACAACATTATGACCCTTCAAAGGATAAATAAAAGCACATTCATCATACGCATTCCTGTACATGCTTAGCCAAGCAAAAGAAAACACATGCTCACAAAAACAATACTCCGCACAAGCATGCATATTCAACAGCATTTGTACCATTAGGTACTACTTCCATATTGCATGTATTTATCCATGAGAGCTCATAGCTAAATTCTCAAAATGACAAGCCGGAAAATGGCCGACAGTACCACATGAACATTAAGGAGAATTTAGAAACATGGACACTCCTCATCCACAATTAAGATTAGATTGAAAAATGATTCAGGTATTTAGAAATCAGAAATGCATACACATGTATCTTAAGTCATATTAATAATTAACATGAAGTTTGAATCAAGTGAGGAAAGCACACCAGAAGAAATGGGTCCCTTCCAAGGCCTGGACCAATAACCAGACAATCAAATCTTTCCATCCACTTATCAAACTCAGAAATAATCTTCTTTGATATGTTTCTTCTGCCCTCATCATCAACATCACTTTCTCACCAAAATAACATAACAGTCAGAAATTAAAACAATAGATATTGAAAGACTGATCTGAAGACAGAGAGAGAGATCACCTAATACTATATGACTCTTGTAAAATTGGGTGCACTATTAATTCAGGGCTATAGCTTTTTATAACTGTGGCAGCACCTTCAGTACAGAAAACATGGGACAAATCTGCACCCTACAAGGGGAAGAAAGCTATTCATATTCAATTAAACAACAGGATTGGAAGTAGATGAAAAGAAACTAAGCATTCTCCATAAAAGAAATCTACAATATAGGGCAAATTCTTAGAAAGGAACCAGATCGAAGATAAGGCAATATATATATATATATATATATATTAAAAAAAAAGGAGCAAACGGTTACAATTTTCAATGCTGAAATAGCAGCAAAGTAAGGTGCACCGGTGTACTCACGACACCCCCCAATAACAGCAATCTTCCCTGACAGAACAAAAATGGGATTCCCATGTCAAATTCAATTTCTCAAACAAAACAACAAGCATTACATAAACACCATAGTAACATTCTTAAAACCTCTAGTAACTTCAACCATTGCCCTTACCAAAATAACAGAGGTGACTTTGTGTTCTGAGCTCTTACCAGCTTGGCCTTTATGTCTAGTTGGGTCAAGGGATGGAGTAATTGCCCTCAAAACATTCTCAGCATCAGCCTCTAAAGAGGCTCCTCCACTTAAGCATTTCACTGCTTCCATTCTTTTCTGATGAGTGATATCACTGTACCCTCCAAGAGACTTTATCAAAAACTGTTGCCTCCTCAACACAGCTGGTGAAGCTAATGATGAAAATCCAGAATTCATTCCATACTTAACAAACATCAGCAATCAAGCTAAGCAACAATCAACTGTCGAAAGAAAAAAAAAATCAACTGTTTAAAATCGAATTTAACAATGATTCAAATTGACAGATTACTGATTTTGAATTGAACAAGAAGGAAAGAATTATGATCCACAGCCAAAAAAAAAAATTTGAAACTTTATGTTAAAGTTCACCAGAAATTAGCAGTAGCTGCATGGAACAGATGAAACTGGATCAGCTTCAGCCTTCAGCTACGATCTGAAAAGTATAATTGTTTTTTTATTTTTTCATTTAATTGGATTTTTAACACGTCATCTTTACTTATATGCCGTCGGATTGGGTTGGTCAAAACAGGGTGCGCCGTTGAAATGTCAAAACCAAACCGATATTGTACGACGTCGTTTAAACGTATTTGGAAATTGCAAGACAATAAAATTTTAACCCAGTGTCCAGCAAATTTGTTGATAGGGCAGAGCAAAAACAAGAATGAAGGAAAGAGCGAAGGCCAATGCAGTGAGATCAGTTGTAGTGGTAATAGGATCATTGGCATTCGGCTACTTGACCGTACAGCTGGGATTTAAACCTTTTCTTCAAAAAGCTCAGGAATTTGAAGCTCTTCAACAGCCTTGTCAATCTTCTCCCACTTGTCAAAAACAAGAAACCCCAACTCACCATTCATAAAATCCAGGTATTATATTTAAGTTTTTTTTTAACAAAAAGTTGAGATTTGGGTGCGACTGAGCGCTGTTTATTCCTTTGTTAAGTAACTGGATCTGAATGACTTTCCATGATTTTATTTTATTGATTAATGAAACCCCTTTTGTTCTGATGAAAATTAGATCATTGAGCTTCATTTATCTGCTGCCATTGCTAAGTTGTGTAAATTCGTTATACGTTCGAAACACACTTTTTTTCTAAATTGATTATTGGCAGATGGATAAAAGAGAAGAGAATCATGAAGAACAATGGATGGAGAATTGGGATAGAAGGCGAAGAATGGCGGCTGTTCAAGTTCTTTGTTACGTAGTGTATGCTATCTATGTGTTCCATGTGTATCATAAGGATGTGCCTGGAAAGCCTCCAGAAGGCAAGAAGCGAAAGGCTAATATGTGGGAGAGAGAGTTTAAGAAAATTAGAGACGCCATTAGAGATGTAGCGGAGGCAATCCGGGAGGGAAATTGCTGTTATGGAGAGAGGCCAGGCACGTGTTTATCCGGAAAAACAAGTTTTTGAAGAATTGGTGAACATAGGAGTTGAGAAGCACTTAATCTGTTGTGCTTACAGCTTCCTTATCCAAGATCCTGCGAGGGTGAGAGCATTCTTTGGTTTCCCAGTCGAGGAGCGTAAAGATTTCCTAATACAGATGATGTATGGTCCTGAGGATCCTTGAAGAGTTTCTTTTGTAGCTGGATGAGACATGATTGAATACTTCCATCATCTCTCCCTTCATGCTTGAATAGTATTTAAATCAATAAGTATTGCCTTTATTTCTTGCTAGCTTCAACTTTTTTTTTTTTTTGCCCCTTTCCCCTTAGACATTCACAGATTTCATGTTAATGATTTTTAAAGTTACTATTGACATTGTTGTTGTTTAGTTGCGGATGATCTTGTGTGCATAATCATCACTTCTACTCTCTGTTGACATTGGAACTTATTATATTACTTTGTGAAATGTTTTTGAATGCTTTGATGTGCCCTCGAGTAGAAAAGTGAATGAACTGGCATGACCCTTTTTATATGCAGTTGATGTTCCTCCCACATACCGGATTATGCGGTTCCAGCTTTGTTAATGTTTCAGGATTAAATGTTGGCATTCCATTCTTGTTGTAGGAAAGACTTTGAGGATGAGATCCCACTCCCACTCCATTTTCGCATCCACACCTCTTTTTGCCTCAGACATGAATCCTATAGTCACTCATTTCATCATTTTGTCAAACGCAGAAAAGTTTTGGAGGTAGTTGATATTTGGGTAAAGGATACATTGCCAATACTATTTGTTTGGGCTTTAAGCCGTCATGTTTAGTCGTAGCGTGGAAGATAGTTTAAAGTTTTATGTCAATGTGAACTACTACAGAAATAGGGTTACATGGATCCAGGCACCCATTCCAATACTGGGGTGGGTTTGCTTCAGCAGAATCATATCACCAATGAGTATTAAATCTACACATTCCGACTAGAATGCACACTTATGTAACTTTGCATATCTAGGTATTGGATTGTTTGCCGTAATCACTAAAATGTAATGGAGGCTGAGAAATATTCTGTATTTTGTAGTATGATTTATGGACTAATGACTAGATAGGTTTATATTTCAGATCAAAATAGGGGAAAGTTGATAACATGGGGAAGCTATATTGCACTCGTACTTTAGGCTTCATTAGGATGAGTGTTTGAGGTCGAAAACTGTAAAGTGAAAACAAATTATGCCCACTAATAACATTAATTTAAAATTATATTAATAAGTTTTCTATGAATATTTTAATATTATTTAAAAATTAAGATATTGAAAATTTTATTTAATCAAAATAAGGACACATTATTTTAAAGTATTAGAAATTATTAAGATGCTTCGAAATAATAAATATTTAAAGAAATAATCTTTATAACAAATACAAATATTATTTAACAAAATAACATTAAACATATGAAATATAAAATAAAAAACAAAATAAACAAACTTGTTTCAAGGCTCAAATTGTGTTTTAACGAGAGAATATAGGTTAACATGCTCATTAAACCTACTTTGGATGGTATCAATTTTTGGCTTTGTAGTTTGCCTTTTTTCAACATCCAATTAAATCAACATGTTGCCAAATAAAGGCAGCAATTATTTTCTGGTTTGGCATGGAAATGCATACGTTCTAAAGAGATCGGACATGGAATCTTCCAAAAATGCACCATAACCAAAAAAATAACATAGAGAAGGCAATTTAATTCGAAATCAACAGGTTTTGATTCGACTTGATTTCTTAGGGTCAATTTTATTTTTTTTTTAAAATCGAATAACAGATCAGGTTGGGTGGTATAAAGAAAAATTCGAGGTCAGGTTTTAAGCAAACCTAACCCGATATATATAAAATATTTTTTAATTATTTATTTATATATATTTAATTTTATATTTATATTAAAAAATAATATTTTATATTTTAAAAATAATATTTTATTAATTTCGGATCGAGTTGAGTACAATTTTATATAGTGTTGGGTCAGGTACGATTTCGGGTATAACAAATAAAAAAAATTTATGGGGTTGGGTTAAGTTTGGGTTTTGTATATTTAAAGTCGGGTCGGGGAAGGGCGAGCAAAAACTCACTCCTCTTCGACCCGTTGCCATCACTATCTTTGATACGAAACGTGAGAAAATTGAATAAGAAAGGAAAGAATAAAATGAATGGAGAAGTGAAAGGAGACGGAACTAGGTATCTAAATTCCAGACTTTTAATTTTGTCATTATTTATTATTATTTTGTATTAGGTTTCTAACTTGCGTTTTACAACCAAAAGAAAAATACTATTTTCTCAATCTATTAGATTTTAAAAAAGTAAAAGCAAATTTCATTATCAATAAATACATATTTTTAATCACATTGAGCAAATCTATAATATAATAAAATCATTAGACTAGATATTAGATATAGATTTAGGTTTCTAATGAGGGAAGAAGAACATAAACCTATTTAGATGACATGCATATGTCCAAAAGTGACGTGAGTGGCTTGGATAACAACAAGCACGATGCTTGTTGCCTGTGTGATTGATTAATAAAGCTAGACTGTTAAAATAAACAAACTCTAAATTGTTAAAATAATCAAACTAAGAGTAAATAAGGTGTCAAGAGATCTAATCTGAGATGTTCAAGAACTTATAAAATTATTGAAATTAAAAAAAGGGGAGGTTCGGTACTTAAGTCTCTACATACAATAACTTACCTGAAGTTCTTTAGCAAAGGCCACCACTTTATCCAAGTTTGCATTAGTTTCCTACAACAAACATAATAAGAAAATGATTGATAGACAATTGTCAAAAGTTATAAAATGATTGTTAAGACAATTTAGAAAAAACCAATTCATTTCAAAACATTCAAATATAAAAGCAACTTTTAAGAATAAATAAGAAAACTATATGACCTTTAATGTTTTGCCATCAGAAGCAATGTCCTAGTCATGGAAACACCACCTATCAACTCCAAGCTTGTTTATGAATTCAAAATTGGCTATCACTGCCATTTGTTTCAAAAAGGAGCAAAGAAAATTATTACATGCTGTTATTTAGTATTAGTCAATAATTAGAGAAAAATGGGTAATAACTATCAATCTTACTTCTTTTTTTGGCCACAGCAATGGAATTGGTACCATCTTCCCATGGCCAAAACTTTATGGGTGCACCAAAAGGATCGGCACCTGTCTCATGGAAAATCTACCAAAATGCAACACTGAATCTCAACTAGTCTTACACCATTTTTATCCAGTCAGTAGCTATCAACATCTTGATAAATCTCATATAAGTTAAGAATGGAAATCGACCTTTATTTTCTTCCTAAGAATCTCCTCTTCTACATTTTACGATTGTGTATGGAAGTGGATTCCTGCTAGAAGGGCCCTGAAGTCAAAATTACAGTTACATTTCATAATGTTTGAATAATTAAGCTATGGCAATCACAACTATGTTAGCTTTGAAAACCATATTTTTGATTTCTAATAAAATCTCCAAAAAGGGAAAAAACCTTTTAAAATTTTTATTAACAAACACAATCAATTTATTTTGCATAATTATTGGGACCTAACAATCTTTGCCTCATATTTAATTTTGGGAATTCTAAGCAAAAGTTCCCCTTTCCATTCACTATCATCAGCACATTTAAGATTAGTAGGGCATGTTTGTGGTGCAACATTCTACATGAAAAAAATTCCAATTAAAAAAAAAAGAAAAAGATACATAATATTTAAAAAAGAATACATATAAACATTACAAAGGAGGGGTTTTTTTACCACTGTAAAAGAGACCATATTCATACAAAGAAATAGAAAAAAAATAGTATGGTGGTAGATGAGGCACAATATCATGGTCATTCATAACTCTAATTGTGTTAGGCACAAGATTTCCATAATAGGAAGCAAAGGAAACATTCACAATACGTGGTTGTCCAAATGTCATAGCTCAAACATTCTTAGCTTAATGATTAACCTAATAATAAAAGATTTGTTTTCTCATTATGACTCTGACAAAGTAACCAGGCAATCTTCCTAAATTTAACAAAAAAAAATTAACTCCAAAGATTTGCAAAAGCCATGGTATATAATTCAAA